GAGCCTGGCAAAGTGTCGACTCAACGTGGAAAACTTTGTCGCCGCCTGTCGCCGGCTGGGAGTCCCCGAGGTAACGTGTGCACGTCCCGACGCTGTCCTGGTGTAGTCTGCAGTGATCACAGTGCTTTGAATCAAGTCTAAATCTGCTTTTTGCTGTTCTGCCCTTTGTCCTGTCGTCTCTGATGTCCTAGCTTTAACAATATAACTACTCATATTGTCTTCCTGTGCGTTTGCGTGCGTGTGTGTCCTCTCCTGTCCAGACTGAAGTGTGTGTGTGCTCTGATGTGCTTCTGTGTAAGCTGCCCAATGTGCTGCGCTGTGTGACAGCCCTGCTGGCCGTGGAGGGGGAGGAGAAGGACCGGCCCCGCCTCCACTCCTCGCCTGAGGCTTCGTCGTCCTCCACCTCGCTGCTGTCCGCAGACTTCTTGCTCTTCTACTGTGCAGTCATGGCGCTGCTCTACGTCCTCTACTGCTACCTGCTCCCTTAAAGCAACGACATGTGACACGGAGTACGTTCGCCATAGCAACAGGCTGTTAGCATAGAAAGCAAACGGTGCTCATGTTGTAAGACCTGTAAGTGTGCTGCTTTGTACTGGTGACTGAACAGAAGCGCTCCGTGATGATTGTCTGTGTCACAGCTTCCTGCACCATCACCAACCATCTCCTGGAAGTTCGTTTAAACCTGGGTCGCTCCATTAGTGACAAGTGAAAGGTAACTGCTATCTGTCCTGATGACACTGGTTATACTGGTGGAAGTCTGAGGGAAACAGAGCCCAGCTGTTCTGTGTATTTGAAATCTCAGGTTAACCAAGTGTCTTATTAGACATGCAGGAGGATGTTCACAGAGAGAAGCTGTGACCAAGTCTCACTGTGTGTGTTTGTGTTGTTGGGCTCGATGCTTTGCATGATTCACAGTTCCTGATGTTTCCTACGCTGCCCTTGCTGCAGCCCCCTCCCCTCCAGATAATCCTCGCTCTTAGCCAGTCTGTCTGATTAGCTGTACCTGACAGGTGGGCGGGGCCTCTATGTCTGACACACCCGTCTAAGGGATCTCTGCTTTTGCTGACCTCGTGAGGAGCTCACAGAGAGCATCTGCACCTCATTATTTAATACAAGAATACACAAAATAAAGGATAATGTTTCCGTCTTAAGCGCTCATGTTGTGATGTTTCCTGATGTGAGCGAGTGAAACATGCCTGCGCTTCAGCAGGGGGCGCCGTTACTGCCTCAGACCTGAGGTTCAAACCCCTCCAGGACGCTCTGTGTCAGCTCCATTACTGTCAATGGTCTGTTTGACCAATCACGGTTAACCCTGACTCTAACCTGTCTGTATAAATGTAAACAGGTCATTAAATTATTGCTTTATTTATTTTGTTCTATGTTTGGTTGTCTCGGTGAAACAAGTCCAACATCTTAGTAGTTTTAAAACTTTGTGGGATTAGTGTGCGCACTTTAAGTCACTCTAGCAGGTCAATCAGATGTATCCAGGTAAAATAACCCTGTGACAAAGTTTCCTTTGGAGATTCACACATGTGATTGGCTCAGCGTGGAAACTTTGCTGTTTCTACTCGGGGCCAGTGTGTGCAACCAACATGACACACTCGTTACTGCAGCTGTTTAACCCGCAGGATGAGACATTTGGGAGATTCAGGCTGCATTCAGTGTTTGAGCAAATATTCAAACATCTGAAACTCTGAGTGTAAGCGATAGTTTTTCACTGGGAGAAATAGGAAATGAAAACGGTTTCCTTTTAGCTTCATACACGTCGTCACTTCAACTTCCTTAAAAAAGTTGCTGTGCTTCCTTTCCTGTGATGAGCCCTGATTAAAAGTCCCTCTGTGTAACTCTGGGCTTTCTTTATGTGCTGACTTTATTATTTCTATAACTTTCTGTTTGGCTTTACAGCAGTGTCCTTGGTAAGTGAGTGAGTGTGCACATCACCACAGCCTGGTGTTGATCTCACCTCAGACCTTCTCGTCTCCCACTTTGAGGAACTCTGAGGAGCCGGTTTAGCCCGTCAGCGTGGTGTAAACTTCCTGTGATGTCACTCTGCTGAGACACAGTTTGTTGTTTATTCATGATGAGTTTGGCACTGCTGTTAGACGTAACAGCAACTGAATCCGCCCGCTAACTAAAATGGGACATTATTCATGTAAAAACCATTGATTTAAAGATGATGGCTCTTTTTACAAACGATTCATTTCCATCACTGTTGTTGTTGTGGGACTAAAACTAGACGCTGCAGTCTGGCTGTTGGCTTCAGGGCCACTTTACCTAAAGGCTGCTTCAGTCTATCAGCTGTATGTTGTGGGCCAGTTTATATAAATGGCACCAAATATGAAGCGACAGTAGCTGCCTCGAGCCTTTAAGCTGACGAGATGAGAGCAGCACGGCTCAGAGCGGCGAGCAGCGCCTTCCTGTTACACGTGTCTATTGTTTCATATGAACTTTGGTTATCCCAGACTTACATGGGTCCACCTGTAATTCTCCATGTAACTAGATTATGGGCTCATTTACATGTAACACACTGCATTCATCATTATTATTTAATGTGAAGCACTCGGTACCTGAATCAGAAGCTATTGTAAATTTAGTTGTGTAACAAACGTCTAAACAAACAGTAAGTGTGCACATTTGTGTGTGAGCACTTCTGTGCTGTAACTGTGCTGCTTGGCAGGAGCGGCTGTTTCCCCTTAAATGTGCCACGTTTGTGAGGAAATAACAGGAAAAACTTGCCAGACCTTCTCTGCTGATGCCAAACAGCTTATTCTGCTTGTTGGATTGAAACACGACTCATCGGCCTGTGGAAGAACCGTACGCAGGTACAGCAGCCTGGGTTCATGCAGCTCACACGCTGCTGTTGGACGGCCTCTGACCAGCATGCGTCACAAGTCAACTGGTGTGATTGTGTTGGTTAGGCTGGGACAAACGGGCTGATCCTAGGAGTGTTTGATAGGACTGAGGTCAGCACTGTGGCCAGGCTATTCCAACCTCACCGTCCCCAAACTCTGAACAGAGCAGCTTTGGTGCATCTCCCACCAAAGCTGCTCTCTTACCTTATCAGGTAAGAGTCCCGTTATGTCACCTCCACACTTTGACCTGTTCAGGCTCCAGCCAGCACCTGACTGTCAGCACCACATGGTCAGCGTAAGAGTGTCAGAATAGGCTGCTTGGTGCTGACAGAGAAGCTGTGGCAGGTTTTCATGGTGAAGGACGCGCTGTGTGAGAACAAACAGCGTTTCCTTACTTTCTGTTTAAAGCTTATTTAACAATTCTCACTTTCTGGAGTTCCTGTTTCAACAGGTTCTTCTGAAGGAAATTTTATTGTATTTATTGTTTTATGGTGTTTAAATTTCTATTTTTTTAGTGGTTACAGACCAATGACCGAGCAAAATCAAGGACACAAGTGTTTATTTCAGTTTAGACATGATATATGAAGTAGGTGCAAGTGATAGTTGTAGAAGCTGAGCTCCGTTCACGATGGCGATGTTGGCTCTGCTCCGCCCCCTCAGTGTGAGTGCAGTGGGATTGATTGGCTCTGGTGTGAGGACGCTGTTTTATACTGATTTAGATTTTTGTCCATTGTAAAACCAAAATAACTGCTTCTTATATCTGACAGTTTTATGAACTCTGCTGTTGTTTCAGCTCAGATGAATATTTTTGTAGGTCAAACTGGACGAACACTAACTGATAAAGTCCACAGTGATGCAGACATATTCTTTAATGTTAGTCCAAATGCATTTGTATTGTATATTTCTACACCTTTTACTAACGAGGATGATTTTTGACTCTGTCTGTTGTAATTAAATGATTTCAAAAGACCTTTTTGGTGCTTCTCTGCTGTTTGCTTTGCTGCTGTTGTGTCTTCCTGCAGCTTCAGTGTCTCATTTTGTGAAGCTTACATGCGTCCACCTCGCCTCCTGAAACTGTCTCATCTGTCTTCATTGTCGACCCGTCATGTGTGAGTTGTGACAAACCATCAAACTAATATGAAAACTGCTAATGAGTCTGAAACCTCTCGGTTCAGTTTTTTCTGTTAGAAGAACAAAAACCTTTCAGAGTTTCTATAATACAGTGACAGCAGCATCTGTATTTCAAACCCATTTAAACACCTGCATTAGTCCTGAGGCAGCTCGTGCTCACACGGGTAAGTACACACAGTCAAATGCATCATCTTCAGTAAAGAATGAATACGTCAGTAAAAGTCATGCTCTGGTATTCAGGGGAACATTTGCACTGGGATGTAGCTGCATCCTCTCATTAAGTGACAGGACTCCTTGGTTTTGTCTCCTTAGCAAAGTTTTTCAAATCTGATCAAACCACACTTAGAAATATGCAGCATTATCAAAGTTATGAAGCTGGACATACCCTGTTACCTTTATATTAATGAGTGACTGGTGAATGTGTAGAAGTGTATGTTTCTTACTTGGATCTACTTCCTGCTCTTTCCGTCCCCTTCCAGGATTCTTTGTGTTCCCCTCAACTCATCATGGAGGACGAAGGCCTGAGTCGGTTGGCCCAGACTGTCCAGACGTTGTCCGATCTGGCAGACCAGCGAGCCCCAAAAACATGAAGCCTTTGTGGCTGCTAGCTCAAAGCAGTCTCGGCACCCCAGTGCCACGCCAGCAGTATCTCAGGGCCAGTGTTTTATTTTTATATGCTTCATATTTGATCAACTTTACAGAGTTTGTATTAAGAACAGCTTTCAAATTTCATAAAAAAGGTAACGGTTCAAATAAATCTGTAAATCACTCAAGCGCTCGTTGTATCCGTGCCATTTTAGAGAGTCTGTGACGTTTTTGTGTACCTGTAGTCGTACTGCAGTGAGTTCAAAACAAACACAAGTGGTTAATGAACAATAAAAAATATATCAAAGCTACGATTTGTTGATGTGAGCGATGGAAAACGGTTTCTATGACTTGAAATATAAACTGCGAAGGATGCAAGTCGTCAGTTCAGCAGGAACCAGCAAGCTGCTCTCACTGCCAAGCACGCTGGGAGGGTAAGTTCAGCTGAACATTATCAGTGAGTTGCTGTTCTCTGCAGCTCAATATTCAGTCCTGACAGTAGTAAACAATAACTTAATGTCACTGCTTTCGCCTCAGAGTTCAGTTTGAATGAATGTGGGTCACTCGACGCGTTCCATCTTCTAACCGTAGACATGGACAGAACCTGTTGCGTGTGAATCTGTTTTCCTTTAGTTCCATGATGGTCTGCACGGCCTGGAGCAGACCAACAGTGAAAGAATCACCTGAATAATTTCTAATGGTTCTGTTTGCACAGCAGCTCTAGGACCAAAGGCTTGTGCCATCCCTTATTTCTTTATTTTGCCAAAAAAAAATGATTTGAAGTGATTTATTGCAATGTGCAAACATAGATGGACAGTACATTATGGAAAAAAGATTCTAAAGATAAATTATACAGCCTGACTTTTTTTTTGCTATTACAAAGGCTGTCTGCAATGTGTAGACATAATAATGCTTCATCCCCTGGGAGCAGACCAAAACTGGCAAAACAAGCAGGAAACCGGTAAACGTTCGAGTTTGAGTCTTTCCAACCGCTATACCACACCATACCACGTGGGGGCGGTATAGTGCCTAACAGCTAATGGCCAATCGTCTTCAAACACACGAAGAAGAGAGGAAGCGGAGGGAGAGGGTGGAAACAGCTACCCCACACTTGACTTCATTGAATGAGATTCAACATCAATTAGCGTTTGTTTTGGGTCAGTGTTCTGCACACAGAATACGCTCACATTCTGTCAGAAGAACGCGGATAGAGATTTTTACACCCCTACAGATCAAGGGTAAGCATGCAGTGGCAACATTTAGCTAGGAAACAAACACACACTGGGCGGTTTATTTTTCTGCTAGCATGGTATCTGCCTACAGTCCGCTTAGCTAGCTGAGGACAACATGGTTATAGCTCAAAGGTTAGCCCGCACACTCAACAGATAATTAAAGAACTCTGCAAATTAGAATAACTTCACCTTATTCCTTATGTTCGTGTTGATGCTTTGGTTGTCAATAGTCATGATATATTATAATAAAAAGGAGTTTGCAGTTGGTGTGAGCTTTATTCAGTCTAATTTGATGAAACCACGGCAACGGTAAGCTAGCTATTAGCATTCACGAGATAGCATTGGTGTAGACTATTTCCTGCAGAAGTGTTCATAAAATGGAAGAGTTTTATCGAGAAGAGGATTTATTTAGTAATTTATTTTTTTAATCCTGCACGTAAACAGTTAAGTTCATAGCTACGTGTAGTTCCTGTCGCTTTTTGTCAATGCCGCTGTCATCACACAGTGGTCGGAGTGAAGCTAGCAAGACAAACTGCAGGACTAACATCAGTGAGCAGGATAAGTGAAGCAGCGTGGAGGCACCGGGACGTGTATTCTGTCTGTGTAGCAAAGCCTGTGGCTGCCCACTGAAACGGTCCCACGCGTTAGTTGTAAAATTACGGCGTGGGGGTTTTAGGTCATTATTACTGCCTTTATATTCCTAGTAGTTGTTTTGTAATAATTGTGCCAAAATTAGCTTCAGTACTTCGTAACAACAAGTCAAGACTGTGTAACGGCTTGTTTACATTACAAGTGTTCAGTAAGATTAGAAAAGCGCTGCCATGTCAAATTAATGAAATTTACTCATACTTCTACTTTTTATTGAACCATAGGCTTTCATTCGTGTGAAGTTGTCTTTTATAGGCTACTTATGAATATGTTTTGTAACCACCCAGTTCTTATTTTATCGTAAGACATGGCGGGTCCACGGTAGCCCTAAAGTGTTAGAGACTCCCCTAAAAAATACAATATAATGGAGGTTATGCTTTGAGACTGTGACAGGCTATCCCAGGGTCCTGAGTGTCCTGTACTGCCTATGGAGCACTGTCTCAGCACGGTCAGTGCTGGATCTATGCTGAATCAGATCAACTCATGTATAAATGCTGTGAAAACACTCAACTGCATATCGTTGTAATTTACAAACTAGAATAATCTGCATGGAAATGTGTACTTTCATCTTTACATTTTGGTATAGAACACTGCATCTCTATGAAGCAAAGTGATTCTTAGAGTTTTCTTTTTGTCACTTAAAAATCCAAACAGACAGAAGCATCTACTGTGTTATTCTGATGTCCACTGTGGACTTTGTGAACTGACTGTGTTCTCTCCCACCGTTGCAGACTGTGTTTGTTTGTAGGTGACGAGCTGGCGCAGGTTGTGGGTTTTTCTTGGATAATGCGAGACAGTGGTGGTAGCCTAGCCCAGAACCGCTGGCAGAGAGACCTGGGTCTGACCGCTGTGGGGCAGAACGACACAGGAGGAGGTATGCACTCACTGTTTGTGTGTAAAATATTTACCCCCCAGTAGGGTGGACGTTCAGACCACTGGGTCAGGCATCAGTGGAAACCCTAAGAGTTTGATGGACACGAGGTCACTTTCATTTTTGAAATGAAACGTCACAACACACAACACTTAAAAGTAAAGAGGAACAACTTTACGGAGTTACTTGTGGCCTTCATCAGGGTCATCATCACCCTGATGACGTGTTGCTGGAGTCCCGGCATTGACTTTCTCATCCTCTCCGTGCCCCTGAAGTTAAATGTCGGTGATAAATGAGTGAATATTCAACAACAGTGTGGCGTTGGTTTATAAAACTTGCCTCAATTTTTTTCCTTTTTCTTTATTGTGTTTCATGTATGTTTTAAGAACTTGCTTTTTATGCCATTTTAAAAAAATCGATCTAGTAACCAGTGAAGTCCAGCAGTGAGCTGTGGCCCTCAGGGGCCCCAGGAAGTCTTTGATTTCAAAGTCTTCATCAGGGGTGGGGAACTCCAGGCCTCGAGGGCCGGTGTCCTGCAGGTTTAGATGTGTCAGCTGATTTAAATGACCTCCTCAACATGTCTTGAAGTTCTCCAGAGGCCTGTGCTCGTTTGATTCAGGTGTGTTGACCCAGTGTGAGGTCTAAAACCTGCAGGACACCTGAGGCCGGGAGTTCCCCACCCCCGATCTACTTGGTATCTAAAACGTGGACGTGGGTGGTGTGTGAAACCAGCATGCAGCTTAGGTTTCCCACCAGGATATTTCATTGAATCGTTCCTTATCGAGGACGGAGCGATCACGGCACACATCAATACCTTAATAAACACGGACTGAATGTATGCACACATGCGCTCATCTTATTATAACTGCTGCTTTTCTATAGTGTCTTTAAGCTCTTGTTGGTGATCATACAACAAACACTAATCAGACTCTGGTAGTCTCTCTTTGCCAGGATACAAAGGATGTGGGATTAACCGATACTAAACACACAGACGAATGATTGAATGTGTTCCCAGGCGGAACGTTTCCTCGTGGTTTTGCAGGGTCGACCCAAATTTGGACGTACTTTTCCAGATTTCGATTTTGACAAGATCCCCAACGTCACCGAGCGAAATGAGGCCAAAAACCAAACCTCCAAAAATAAAAAATTAATGACGTCCCAAGGAAAACTGAAGCAGCAGCTAGAGCTGTTACTTAAGGCTGTGTTCAAATATTCAAAGTAAGCCTGAGGGGGTGACTCAAGGCCTTTGGACAGCACTGTGGGGTAGATGTTATTTTTTAGTGAAATGAAGACGATACGATGCTTTTTTAATGTGTCAGAGGTCCATGCTCACTACAAATGGGATAGTTTGGCCTGTTGGTAGGTGGTTGCTAAGTAATGTGATACAGATAAGTACAGATAAGTGTGCCTTGTTTATATGGTGTAGGAAGAGCTCATAGATACATTGTTACCTGTTGTAATGAGCTGCAGCAGTACTTTTGGGCTGTCGTGATGCCTGATTGGACGATAATCACTGCTGTTTGTTTCATAGGTGGGATTCCAGCGGACCGCCTCATAGTCCCAGTGTCAGATCACAGTGTATCCACCCCCATGCACCTGAGACTGGAACATAAAGAAAAGGTGTGGACGGGTGAATATGTAGTGGATGAGGAAGATGGCATAGGTGGGACTGAAGCTGTAGGTGACGATGAAGTTAACAACTTTGATGGGGAAGACATGGGTAAGTTTGACAGCAAGAGTTTGGAAAACAACGAGGATGAAGATGTTGAAGAGGATGGAGACCAGGAGGTGGAGGAGTGGGGAATCTCAGATTTTTCTTCCCAGTCTTCCGAGCACCTTCATTCACAGCAGCACGATCATCAGAGACCAGAACAGAAGGCTGAAGAGATCGGCGAGGCCCCCGTAGCTCACGCACTAAGCCAGGCTGAAGCGGGAGACTTGTTTAGGTCCCGCCTAAGCAAGTACAGGGCTCTGAGAAGACTCGGGCGCTTGCAGCGTTTGCGATGCCGTGGAGGTCTTGGATTTCGGCTCTCTCAGCACTGGAAGAGCTGGCGCCAGCAGGCCCGGTGGATGTGCTCCGTAAGACACAGGTGGAGCCACAAAGGGCAAAGGAACACTCAAAGAGAACAGAGGAGACTGAAACGGTATGAGGGCCCCCCGTACGGGCACGAGGAGTATGACGGCAGTGATGACGGGCACACAGAGTCTGACAGAGGTACTTATTCGTGTGGGAATGCTAAGTAATGGGAATAGCAGGCATTTAAAATGATATGTTTTGTCAGTGGCAACAATCAGAGTACCATAACAGATGTTTTCAGTCTGCTTCAGTCGCCAGTTTTACTGCTTTTGTGAACAAATCCCCACGAGGCATTTGAATAAGTGGGAATAATAATACATTTCCATAACCTGCAGTGACACCAGCTGTGATACGCTGCAGCGTCATGCTTAGTAGAGTTTAGTTTAGCCTCCCTGTTACTGTTAAAGGTTGCAGTTAAGTTACCTTTGACCCAAATTGATTTAACTGTTATTTTTGGAATTTGATAAAAATGCCTGAGTCTGCAGATTCCATAACAAATATGATTTCTTTCCTTTGGCAGATCAGCAAATAAACGGCTCCTCCTCAGGAAAGCAGGAGGACCGAGTGACCCTGGAGGCAGAGGTCAGGCCGGCAGAGCTGGCTCTTACTGAAGAACACACAAGTTGTGTGAATGGTATGTATCACAAATGCTTCTAGCCTTGCCTTAAATGTTTGTGCAGTACCAGCGTGGGCAGCACGGACGCTCAAGGTCGTGAATGTGAGAACGAGGCGACGTAGGCGCTTCAAACTGCTACAGCATGGGCATCAAGTCTTGGACGAGTTTGAATGTCAGCGAGCTGAAGAGGTCAGGTTTTCTGAATGTGAGAGCTTGTGAATGAGGCGACGTAGGCTTTGAAAATGAAAAACATCGTGTGTCTAGCAGGAGGCTGACGGGCAGCAGCGGTGATTGCCAGCTCGCATCTAACATGACGTCTGCTCTGTCTTAATACCCAAAGACTTGAATCAGTCTTGGAGTTAAACGCGTATCCTTACTGAACAGTCTGAGCTGCAGATGCTGAATGTGTCGTACTGATAGTGAGGAAGGCTGTTTCCACATAACAGTTTTCATGTTCCTTACGTCACATGTCTGAGTCGGGGGACACTCTACACGGCAGCCCGGGACCCCATAACTCGAGATTCATCCAGCTGTCATTGCTTTTATCTCATATATATATGGAGGCACCAATCAGTCCACACACTTGTTGCTCCTCCATAATGTCCTGTTATCCTCAGCTGTAAACCTCACGTGACAGCTGCTTTGACTGCAGCGATCCGGACTTTACGTCCAGGGTCTGAGGTGTCCGCTGTCTTTGTTGGGTCTAGAGTTTGTCTTTAGCTGTGAGTCTCTAAACTGCTTTTAGACTGACACGTGTTTCCTGTAGTGCGTCCCTTCATTGTGACTGGGTGACGTCCTGGTTCATGTCCGTCCTTGTGTACCTCCCTGTTGTGTTTCAGTGTGCGCTGCTTCTCATGTCAGCATCAATGTGGGGTCCTACAGTGTTCATGTTACAGAGTGTACTGTAACACATGCTCACATGTGTGATGCATCAGTAACAGTTCATGCTGTGTCTGTGGCCTTGTATGTCTCGTGTGTAACTGTGTCAGCAGTGCCGTGTCGGTCCAACCTGGTTCTGTAAAGTCTTTCTGGACCTGTGTAAAGCAGAGCTGTGTCTTTGTACCCACTCGTTCCCTGTTGTTGCCTCTGTGGCAGGTGGGTGAGATTATCCTAGTAATCGAGTATTCCACTGATTTCCATCATTAACCAAGAAATATTTGGATGCCATTAATGAGTCGTGATAAGAGGAAAAGACGTCTCAACATGAACTGCTCGTTGGTTTCATCTTACAAATGTTTTTCATTTAAAGTTTGACATCTGTCAAAAAACAAATGAAACCTTTGTGTTCATGTTCTCAAATAAACTGTTTTCAGCTTAGCGGATCGTTTTCATGAATGTGGTTTATATGAAATCTAAACGAAGTACAAAACTAACGAGTTGCTGTGCTTTTGTGGAAGACTGACACTTCTGTTTAGTGTGTGTGGACATTAAACTATGGCAGCATCATCTTCACTGGTGCTTTTTGTTTAAAAGCTGGGAGCTGTGGGGCTTAACGTTGTCACTCGCTGCTCCCAGATAGTTTGAAATGTGGGTGAAACGCTGGCATTTACATGGTGACAGCTAAGAGTTAAAGTGAAGTATTGACACAAAGAATATGAGTTGAATATGGACTATAGCTCGACTGCACTAAACACTGAACATGAATAATGTGGCGTTTCCACAGTGCTGCAGCTGCACACTGTTATTTATCCAGAGGGTAGCAGGAAGACCGTTTGTATGGTTAACATCATGTGTGATGGAGGCGGAACATGTGACCGTTAGCAGCACGTGAGCCAGAGCTTGTACAGTCTCACAGGTTTGTAACCCTGCTGCGTCCAGCACAAACGTGCTACGTCCAGCACAAACTGAAACCTGCTGCCTTGTGCTCTTCATGGAGGAGCACAGAGTGTGTTTCAGTTTGTGCTGGACGTCCTCTGTTGTTGAACATCAGCCAGTATGAAACTCACTGCTCGGGTTTGCCCATTGTTGGTGCTCGCAAATGTAAATGCATGTATCTCAGCTGGACATGTTGTATGATGTTACCTGTATTATACCTGTGTGTGGCGCAGCCCTCATTCATGTGGCTGTCATCTGTCTCGAGGTATTCTGGAAGAGTCGCTACGGCAGTACGGCAGTTTGATCCCCATCCACGTGGATGATGTTGTGGAGAAACTTCAGGACATCTTCAATGAAAACTTCTCACACCCACACAGGTGAGACGTAGTGATGCTGTTGTGTTAACAGTGTTCTGTGTTGTTACCATCCTTCTCTCATCCTTCTGTGCAGTAAAGGTTAAGCTGGTGTCCATATCTACGCTGTAATCTGCAGCACTACTCTGAGGGCGGTTGAGACCACGTAGAGCTTCAACACCATGACTTACTGATGCATATTTGAGACATGTGTGCAGCTCGTAATCAAATGTGTTTTGCTCCTTCAGGATTTTCTGGATAAGTTAGGAGCATTTCCCTCTATTGAAGTGTGTTTAGCTCCAATTTCAGCCATGTTGCATTTGGGAATGAAGCAGTTGATAAGGGGCCCTGACGCCTGCTGTTAAACAGGTTGTTCCCTCCTGGGACTTAGCCGCAGTGTCAGAGTTTCAGAGCTGAGTTTTGAGCCTGTGGAGTGTGTGGGGATGAGTGAATTTTATGTAGCAATACTTCCCTCCAACCACAGTGAGGTAATTCTGCTGTGGACCTGCTAAGTCCACCAGATGAAGGTGGACCCTTTAGGGGCTCTCTTTTTAAGGGTGTTGCATCCCCACACATGTGTTAGGGTTTTGTTTTTGGCCTTGATGTGACTGTGCACTCACTGGACTCTTGGTGCTTAGCATGCTGTTAGCTTCGTACCGAGCTCGGGCGTGTCCTCGGTCGAGGTGTTATAGTCTCTGGAGCATGCAGTCTCCTGTAGTGAGATACACACTGTTTGGTTACACGAGCAACTCCAGTTCTCTGAAAACCAAAGCCTGTATCTCACCATGCTGCCGGACTTCATGGTCACATCAAAGAAACACTTGCCTGGTGTGGAGCCAGGGGCTCCTATAGAGGGGGTCTGGGGACCCTGTGTGCTTGAACCATCTTCTTGATGTGGTGGAAGCGGAGCTCCCGTGATTGGTCACACCAGGATGGCATACTTCATAGCTCACTTGGTTTTCAGAGAACCGGGGTTAGTGTGGCTGTGAACGTAGAGCAGGTCATCTACTCATCGGAAAATTGGTGTTTTCTTTATCCATTAGCTTTTCCAGGCTGCATGCTTCAGTATCCTTGGGGAAGCTGCAGAATCTTGAGTTGCTCGTGAGGCATTCAGCGGCGTGTGGAGATGGTTAAAAGCTCTTAGATGTACAGAAACATGCTTGCATGGATGTTTGGGTGAATGAGACGTTAAGCTTTGTTTTCACAACTCACAACTTAATGTTCACAGAATCACTATGTAACTGCAGTTTTGTTTTTGCAGCAAAGGTGTCCTCTTTCACTTGCTGTAGCGATCCTTTGATTTGGGCTGTGTAATGAAAGCTTTCATTAGCGATGTCTGAATACATGGAGCTAACTGTACATCTGATTTTGATTCGTTCTTCCTTAGAAAAGCAGTGGTCCAACATCTAATACACTCCTTCCACCGCTCATCAGGATCTGTTGTAGCTAAAACCTTCAGAGTCAACTACAAGCGGCATGTTCTGACCATGGACGACCTGGGCACTCTGTACGGACAGAACTGGCTCAATGACCAGGTATGCTAGTACACTCTAACTGTACACTTTAGGCTTTTTGGGGGGAATTTTGACTTAATCTTAGGCATTAGTGCACCTAAGTCCAAAGGGAGTCATTAAAATGTGATTCAGTACACCTGTGTTCCTCCTGCGGTGGCACATTTTAGAGATACTGCTGTTAATACTTCGTAACTTGTACGTGCTGTAAATGATGCAGGTGCATGGCATCGGCTGAGTTAGGTACGTCAGTATATGTTCTCGTTCTTCTAAGTCCAGATGTTACCACATCCAATGTTTCATCATCAAGAAAAGCAAAACAAATTAAAGCTGCGAGCAGTGATGACGGGACACTCACTCTTTGGTTTATTGTAGTCTTTGCGTTCCAGAATAAAGTGCCATGAAGCGACTGCTGTTGTGATTTGGGGCTATAGAAGTTAAACTGAACTGAATTGAAAATTTCAGTTGGCTGGAGGTGGAGTGGTGCAGTTGAGCCATTTCCTGTAATCATATTTAAATCAAAATCCTCAACGATCACGTCAAATATGCAGGTTTGTGCTTCCTGTCGTAACTTTGAGGCAAACTGTAAAACAAACTACTGAAGGCTTTCCAAACCAAGGTTTCAACATTCCTTGTCAACCACAAAGTGTAATATCTGGAAATGACAAACGGCAGACTTCCTGTTGGGTTTGTCTCAAAGCTTCTCTGAACTGATCTTGGAAAGTTGCACACGCGTACCAAATTTCACCCACACAGGTGGAACCATGTATGCAGAATCATGTTGTACTGTCCACATGCCAGACCCCTAAAAATATGTATGTTTTCACCAGAGCAGATGCGTGTGCAAAGTTTAGGCCCTCAGCGAGGCTTTAAAATCAGACTGTGTTTATGAAAACGGCTGCTTGGTTTCACACTCGGGCCTTAAAAGTAAAGAGAATTGTATCAGAAGTGTTGCTGCCTGAGAACATTTCTCTTTGCACTTTAATTCTTACATTGTTTTTGTGTTATTCAGGTGATGAACATGTACGGTGAGCTGGTCATGGACTCTGTGCCAAAGAAGGTGAGGAAGCTGCAAACGAAACTGTTGCAGCTTGTGCTGTGGATGGTTTACCTACCCACAGTTATTATTGTGTCGTTGCAAAAGCCATATGTAACATCTTCTGAGATTTTTCAGCCTTGTTTGAACCTTCTGTGCTGAACACACTGAAACCATGTTTCACTCGATACATCAGTGCACAAGATCAACTACATCAAATACTTGATGTATCATAATGAAAACAGCCACTCAGAATATATAAACTGAGTATACAAAGATCTTACAGCTGTGATATGTTCCTTCGTTTTTCATTGTTATTATGGTAAATATTTTTGTGGAGGGTCTAATAACTGAATAATAATAATATATTTAGTGCAGAAACTATTGATTATTTGAATTGGTGTAGTTGAATTCAGTGTTATTTATAGAGCACCAAATCAACACAGTTGCCTCAAACCGCTTTATATTATCAGGTTGGAGATCCTACAATAGTGCAAAGAAAACAGAGAAAAGCCAACAATCACATGACCCCCTATGAGCAAGCGCTGTGGTGACAGTGGGAAGGAAAAACTCCCTTTTAACAGGAAGAAACCTCCGGCAGAACCAGGCTCAGGGAGGGGCGGGGCCATCTAACGGGATCTGTTGGGGTGATGGAGGAAGACGGGACAAGGACAAGCTGTGGAAGAGATTAATAGTAACTAACGATTCGGTGCAGAGAGGTCTACTAACACACAGTTGTTGAAGAAGAAACACCCAGTGCATCATAGGAATCCCCCAGCAGCCTGCACCTACTGCAACATAACTAAGGGAGGATTCAGGGTCACCTGGTCCAGCCCTAACTATATGCTTTAGCAAAAAGGAAAGTTTGAAGCCTAATCTTGAAAGTAGAGATAGTGTCTGTCTCCTGAATCCAAACTGGAAGCTGGTTCCACAGAAGAGGGGCCTGAAAACTGAAGGCTCTGCCTCCCATTCTACTTTTAAATACTCTAGGAACAACAAGTAGGCCTGCAGAGCGAGAGCGGAGTGCTCTAATAGGGTGATATGGTACTACAAGGTCATTTAGATAAGATGGGGTCTGACTATTCCTCATCACTTGATGTTTGCTGTCTGTACTGTATCACTCTCTGTTCCTTTTCAAACATACACTGTTGTTTTTGTGTAGCTTATCTGTGTAGTCGATTTAATTAGAAACTTACAGATAACGTCTTATTTCAGAGTGTAATCTTCACGTGGTTTGTCCAGAGCACTCTCTGATTCACACACTAGTTATTTTCACAGCTTTCACTCACTGTGTCTTCAGCGATTCACTAGCTTAGCTCACAGCCGACTTGTTAGCAGTGTGGCCTCTTGACCTGTTCCTCCTGCACTTTCCTGCTCATTGGGTCAGATGTTAATGAATAAGAAATACATGTAATAAATGTAGCCTGTTTGTGGAGGCCAGGATCACTGATTGGAAAAACCCATAACTAGCCAGGCCGCTGTAGCCGGTGCAGTCAAAGGTAGCGTAGGCTCCGTTAGCTCTCGCCTGGCAGATTGACCTGAGAATAAAAAGATGGCTGGGTGACGGGGATGAGGAAGCATAGTTCTAAACAGAAGCCCCCGGTACACCACCAACCCCTTGTGTCTAATCGTTCTGCTGCCAGACAAAAACAAACCAAACTTGAGCAAATGATTTAAATACAAATACCCAAGAAAGAACAATATCGTGTCCTCAACAGCACCAAAGAGTAAAACAGTGAAATGTTAAACTTTGAACATTGCGTCCCTCTCTTCTAAGTCCCTGTTAGTACATTAATTAATAAACAAATGGATTTACCTGGTTACAGCAGGATGATTATGTTAGTTTAAAGGGAACCCCGGTTATTAAGACATGTTTGCGCTAAAATGTGTACTGTGCTTTCAATAACACATATGTGGTATTAAAATATACTAAATGTTTTCCTTCTAAGCACATTTTATATAAAACCGATTTACCAGTAGGTCGCCATTGTTATTTACTTCTCAATGCACTCTGGGTAGTGACGTCACACGGTTGCACCGCATCCAGTTCACAGTTAGCAGCGCACTGGAAATCACTTCTGTTCAACCTTTCCAGTTTGAACCAGAGCAAACCGAAAACAGTGAACCAGCACTTAGTTTAGATGAAGATGAAAACAATCCGTCACACGATGACGAGAGAGTGAGGGAAAACTACTGGTGTCTATGCGGCTACTGCTTGCCAACGGCAACGGTGACTCAGAGTGTTTGTCTTAATCCAGATGTTCTTTGGGCAGCCCTTGTTAGCCTCCATGACCGGTATCCGGTCTTTAAGTGATAACGTGATGAATCCTGCTTCCGGGCCCATAGTAGTCTGCATTTAATAAGACTGTTGTGTTTTTAACATGTTTTAATGTTTTGTATCTTGTTCGATTTAATCTCAACAAGCCCCTAAAAACAGTCAGTGATCACTGTCGGCTTCTCACGGTTTTTATTACCGCCAATCATTTTAAAGCTCAGATTTTAAACCCTTACGATGTAACTGCAGCCGAGCCCATGTAGCAGCAGTATATTAATGACTAACCTCATATTGTGGATGGATTATCTCAGTTGTTCTCCTGACTGAAGTTTGGTCCGTTTACAGCATCCTGCCATGCGATTACATTTGTCCCTAACCATCGGGAACTCTCATGAACTTTTATCAAGTGGGGAAAAAGTCCTCCGTTTGTTAGCGTTCATCCTCCAGCTTTACTGTTTATGCTAACATAGCGTTCACGTAGCACATCATTATATACCAGCTAGCCCAACTTCAGTAACCCTACAAACGTCACTGCTGTTTAGTCTTCATTTATGTTGGAGGAGATAGCAGAGCTGTACGTTTGAATTTGATAATAAATCTCTCAGTCAGAACACAGTGGTACAGGTACAGTGGAACCCCGGCTTACAAAGACCCCATTTAACGAAAAATTCAAGTTACGAAGGCACTTAACAGCAATATTTCTGCCCGTGGTACGGCAAAGTGCCTGCGTAACGAAATGGATAATATAGAAAATTTAAAAAAATTAAATTAAATTCCATAATGTTATGTACATGTACGTATGTATGCATGCATGCGTATGCTTTCTTCAACCTCCTCCACCAAGAACTTCGTCTTCAGCCAGCATCGCCTCACTCAAAAGGCGATGGAAAAAGGTGCTTCGACTTACGAAAATTTGACTTACGAAAGACCCTCTGGAACGAATTAATTTCATAATTCGGGGTTCCACTGTATATTATATTTAGATGGAAACTAGTGAGCTAACTTCCTGCTAACTCCTAACTCAGTTAAATGTCATAAATTCCGTTTTCATGGATGCCTGGATGTTAAATTTAATTGTTACACCTGGCAGAGAGGCCACACTGATCATTTTATTACAGATGAACAACTTTAGACAGTTTTTTAACTCTCAGTAATGCCGCAGTGATCATTTGACTTTTGCAGCGGAGCTTGGGCCCAGACATGGCTAATAACATCAGACTCAAAGACGGGATAGTGCTGGTCTACCAAGTCGTAACCAGGTAATAGGCAAGTTAATTAATACGGTTGCTACACTTTAAAAAACAAAACAGGTTAGCTGAACGAAAGCACCTATACTACCGACAACCAATACACGTCATCGTCCCAGAATGCATTGTGTGCGAAAAAACATGGCTGCTCCCACGGCTCCAAGATAGTTTTAAACAACAAAGATTTAATGAATAACAAAAAAAATATATTCTGAAGTATTTTTTAAGTTCCTTCGTCTCAATATGTCTTTTGAGTTGTACTTGGCACTCATACTTAAATGTCTATCACATTTTTAGAGAGGGCCTTACCACCTCTTGCCATAATAGTCGAGTGCTTCAACCACTCGACCCTTGCAGCTCTCTAGTCTAACCATGCTGGCATGAAAACCCTCGTGACCAGCCCACAGGCCGACGGTTGCGAAAGGCGCCTTGGATGCGTGCAGCCTTGCCGGACTACAACAGTGTAGTGTAATAATACAACCCAAAAACACCAGATCTTATCTAGGTTTGTGTTTCAGATCTCACTACTCTGCCCTCACAGGCCTTCACGTGTGTTATATCGCTTGTCAATGCTAATTGTGTTCCCTCTTTTAGCTATAAAGGTGTGAAACCAACGGACCCCTCCAGGGCTAGCTCTGTGTGCTGCTATCAAAGCAGGGCCAGCACGGGGGTTATAACCTGAGGGAGCCTGTCGGAGATTACTGTGAACATTCCTAGGAAGGCTTTTTCCTTTTGTTCATGATGCGTAAAAAATAAACTCACAAAGAGATCAAAAACGTCTGGACTGCTTGTCGAGTCCTGCTCTGGCGCTGCGTTGACTGAAGCCGCTTGCTGCTCCCGTAGATAATGGCTCTGTGTAATCCCATATACTCACATGTTTAACTGTTAATCAATCAAAATCATTTTTTTTTTTTCTTTCATGTCCCTCTCATTTTTGATTCACAACGCTTTCTTTACGATAAGCTCGTAGAGGACAAAATGGCTACGAAGGAGTCACAATAACGGTGGACAAAAAATGTAAGTGAATGCGGCCAACGTACTCGGAGTAGTTTAACATCTTGTCATCAATATGCAGGAATAAAAACAATGAGGAGTGTCGTTAGAGCTGGGTGATAAAAGACATTCAGTCTTGTCTTTAAATTACAATGTAACACAAATTTATGAAGGTGGTCTAAATAATTCAGACCGCTCATGCAGACAGTGCAAGACAAGAACTGCTGAACACTCAGAGCACATGCAAACGCATGACAGGCGGCACACGAGGGAAACCGTGCTTTCATCTGGCGTAGAGTTGGGAGTTTCAGGTAAGTCGGACAATAATGAGTCCGGTCAAAGATCTCGTATACGAGCTGCGTGTGCATGAGGGTGTATGATCTGCACTGGTCTAGGTGATAAAGCCTCACTGTCCGTGAGTGGTGGGTTTTCTTTACATTCATCTGGATAAGTAAGCAGTCGGGAGGAAACCCTCTGATTTATAGAATACAATATGACAAACAGATTACTATACTTTATTCCACTCATTTGTACCTCACTACCACAAAAGTTCTTTGAGATTTCACTAGTCTCTGCCCATTTCTTGAAGTCTTTGCTTCTCAGAGGATGAAAGAAACCCGCGATTTTACAAGTTGTTGTAGACTTGATTAGTATTGTTTTTTTTTGCGTTAGGGTGATGTAAATTCATTGTCACAGTTACAGTGTGCTAAATCATCATAATGGTTCAGATTTCTTTTGTTATTATCGAACATACGTTGTACTGCTGTGTCAAGTTCTGTCACCAAACTTCAGCATAGGATGACAAAAAGAGAGAGCGCTTCTTTGTAGCCTGCTCAAAAATCTCCTGCGAGGATGTTCTCGGCCATTAGTATTGCACGAGGTCAGAAAGCTGGTGACAAACTCGAGGACGAGGACAAAGTAGTAGTAGCTGTCTTAAATATCTAAAGAAGCAGGGTAAACTGACAACAAGCTGAGGAGTGCCAGACAACTCAACAACTACACTAAAAATTGGTGGCAACCAGTCTGATAGAGTGATGCGTCCAAATGTGAGATTTTAGCTTCAGATTGTAGATGAACCGGTGCAGTAACGGTCTCGTCTGTACAACAGAGACTGCATGTCAGCCAGCTCAGGATCTTCTTAAACCTGAAGTAATTCTGAATGCAGAACAAACTGAGATTTTGCTCCACCCTTCAGTTCCAGCTGGAAAGCATCTGACTGCTTTATTTTACAGCAGCGATGTCAAACACACAGGTAATGCAGCAAAGACCTGGATAGGAAAACAATGAAACCTGGTCAGTCGTAGAATGACCCACTCAGGGTTTGGACCTCAGAGATGTTGAAACTGGAATCCTCAAGATTCCTCCCTTTGTTCCCTTTGTTCCCTTCTCAAGGGAACAAAGGGAACAAAGAAGACCTTTGGACTGATCTTTATTCAAGCTAGAAAGTTTTTACTGAACCTGACCTTGGGGAGTTCAGGCTGGTCTCACCAAATGTATTTTTGCCTTAATTTCCATGTGTGTGTTTGCATGTTTCAGTACATTTCTGACCTTTGACCATTTTCTGATGGCTCAGTGCTGTAAATGTCAGTTTGCTTCAGTTTGAACTTTCAAAGAACGTTGTGACATCAAAATGAAAATGAACATATATTTTTGTCTTTTTTTTTTTTTTAGATCTGACTGTTTATGTGCTCTTTTCATTCAAACATAACAAAGCCTGAGCTGTACGCACAGTTGTGTCTGCTCTGTGCTTTGGCTTTAGATGGAAATCAGCTGTTTGTCCAAACACCACTGTGGTTCAGCTTTTTTATTTGGTATCTACTGACACTACCAATGGACCATTTTGATCTTCTCTGGGATCTTTAGTCAAAAACAAGGCGTCAGACTAACTTTGGTTAAGACAAAAGTCTAGTTTGTATTTCAAACATAAGAGCAGAGCACGGAGAGTTCATCTGAAACTGAGTCCAGTTCTTTCAAACTTCAAAGGTTCTTTGTTACAAAATGAACTTAAACTGTCTCCTGCATAGTTTCAGATAAGCATGTTGTCTTTACATGATTACTGTTACAGCTTGTTACAAACCCCTGAAAGGAGCCGTCCTGACTCGCACTTTTAGTGCTTGAATAAAAAACAGTCAGCTTTATACGTTTAGTTAGCTGCTTCTCCAAGTTAAGATTTGAAAGCCTGTCCCAGTTTTCATGAGAGGAATAATATAAACAACACAATTACAATTTATTTTTTCAAAGGTTTAAACAGAATATTTTTTAACATTTAAATTGTAATTGTTTATCCACAGTTCCAGCTCATTTGTAAATATAAAATAGTTTTGGTTTCTAAATCTCATCCTAATATTATACACCTACACATCATCACCATGCAACCTTACGATCTGATGACTAAAAAGATCCCACGAGTGTCTGGAGATTAAAGTTTTACTTTAAAGTTTTTTGTTGAGATAACGTGTGTGCCTCCGTTTCTGTTCGACCCTGATCATCCAGCATTGTTGAGCAAGGATATGCCCCGTTCCTCATTTCTTAGTTTCCTGCACGTTTGTCTTGTTCACACATTTTAAGATAATCAAACATAATGAAATATTAGACAATATTCAGTCCTGCTGCCTGTGGTTAAGCTTACTGAGTGACCTGATGGCTGGACATGGTCAGAGTTCATGGTTGAAACAATTGCAGTCGTCCAGGTCCTGAAGCAGCAGAGCAGCCATGGACATTACTCCGTCCTTGTCTTGTTATATTAATATATCATTGTTTAATATCACATGTTACCATATATTATCATATTCAATGCTGTTAGTTTTACACAGAATATTCTGTGTAAAACTATCTTTGATCATCAAGGTGTTTTTGGATAAATGTGAGTAAAATTCGTTTGGTCTGAAACGTGTAACAAATACACACCAAAGCACTGAAATACTTGCATGTGGTTTATCTGCAGTACCTGTAAAATCCCATGGAAAAATGTTGTGACGGGTTTTTATAGAACTGAAAGCGATGATGTGATGACAGCCTTACTCATCTGCTTGTCTTAATAGGAAGAACATACTTCTCACATTGTTAGCGTCGGGCTTTGTTTGGTTCATAACTGAATTAGCTCTTGGCTAGCAGCCGCATACACCACTTTACAAGCTTTTCCATCTGTGTGTTGGTTACATTGCTTTAGACCACATTAGGAGCACTGCTGGCTTGGTGTTACAGGGTGGGGGCATCGTATAATTGAAAACCGACAGCTTAACCAAGATTTTTGTTACGTCTCTCAAACTCTCGTTTATTTCTGTTCATTTATCAGGTCGACATCTTTCAGAAGGATCTGTTGTTGATCCCCATCCATCTTGAGGTCCACTGGTCGCTGGTCAGTGTTGACATTCCTCGTCGAGCCATCACCTACTTTGACTCTCAGAGGACTTTGAACAGGCGTTGCCCAAAGGTAGGGATCAGGCAGCTTTTGGAAAAGGAATGAGTGGATGATTGAACGGTTTTTGAAGAAAGGTCAGTGGGTATAGATGCTTATTCTGTCAAAATGATTAATAGTAGCAAATAAGCAGCTGCGTGATATTTCTGGTAGCTAATATTGTTGCTTTTTTTTTAAAAACGTATTTTTTTAACACTGCAGATTTGTTGTAAAAGGCCAAAGTTTTTGTAACCTCTTCAGTTGGGTTGTGTTAAACCCAAATGTTCGGTCCAGAGCTGCTCCTCTGTCTGTCCTGCCAGTGATTCAGTTGCTGATAGGAGAGGGCGGGCTGTCACACCTATAGTGTATCCATGAACCTACTGCTCAAAGTCAGAATCTCTGTTTTTGGAAACGGGTGTCTCAGTCTCTTTGAACGTGTTCATTTTGATTCCAGCACATTTACAAATACCTGCAAGCTGAAGCCATCAAAAAAGACCAGCAAGACTTCCTGACAGGATGGACCGGCTTTTTCAAAATGGTAACACGACTTTTCTTTATAACACAACCAAAGCTCTGGTGAGACTTTGAGTAAAAATCATACGAGAAGTAGACTTTAGTTGAAATGGTACCATTGCTAATGCTAATGTATTTGTAATGTTGCAGAATGTGGGCCGCCAGAACAATGACAGTGACTGTGGGGCTTTTGTGTTACAGGTGAGTTTTCTACAGTGTGCATGAGGGCTGGCTGATATGAGGAAACTCTAATATTGTTTGGCTATATCGCGATATGTCTTGAGCAGCAAAGGGGGTGGGCTGCAGTGTGAGCCTCAGTGAGGTCGGGTTTTTTATGTAAATATCAACATGTGTGGTATCCACAGAAACTTTCAAGTCTCAGCCACAAGCTCATAGAAACCATTTCTGCAAACACCAAACGGCCAACACAACAATTAAAAAGGCAGTTATGTGCCTAAACACAAACAACAAAGCCACACTCAGCTTCATGTAACCCAGCAAACGTCACATTGTCTAACATCAAAGGTTTCGTCACTCTCCAACCAAAACGATCTGAACCAGCAGCAAAAGAAGGCCACAAATATGCTTCAGGAACGATAAACAATAACTGTTTCCTTCAACAGAGGCCGTCGTAGCTCGAATCACAGCTGGTGTATTTAACGTTTCCTTTGGTGTGTGGGGAGATGTTGACATGCTGAGTTCATTCATGTTGTTCGACAACCTCCTCGTGAAATCCAGACGACAGCGAGTCTGAAACTCCCGCTGTCACCATATTTCTCCCACCTGCTAGCATATAAACACGCATGCTCAGCACAGTGTGGCAGGTAGAACATTTTCCAGCTAGGAGGGGGATTGATGATGCATTTGCAGTGTGCGGGAACCTACACTCGATGGTTACGATAAAACCATTTTAACCATCGTACGTATCAAATCTACTCGATATATCGCCCAGCCCTGATATAAACACGAACTCTCGTTGTTGAGAGCTAGCCATGGACAATTTGGATTAGTCTGTTCCACTTCTTTATAGCATTTATGAGGGAAACATGTACCTACTGCATAGATGGTAATTACCACACATCAGATTGTTTTAAATGTGTTTCAGTATCTGACCTTTCCTTATCTGCTATCCTGCAGTACTGCAAGTGTCTGGCACTCGGGCAGCAGTTCAACTTTGGGCAGCAAGACATGCCCCGCCTCAGAAGACAGATGTACAAAGAACTGTGTCACTGCAAGCTTATGGTGTGACCCTTCATTTCCATCGTTTGTGGCCAGCTACACCTGCTCCGTCCCTGAAGTCTAACAGGATGGAGGGACAGTGTTAAAACAAGAGGAAAATGGGAGCAAGTGACTGGGGGAAAATAAACATTACAAACCTAACCTTTTCTCTTCCACCATGCAGAGAAATTCTTCTAGATGCGAACATTGTTTGACTTTATTTTTTCAGGTTCTGCTTCCCTCGGTTTGTTTGAAAAACACTGATTTAAATATCTGTCATAGTTCTTTGTGGTTGTGAGAGGCCAAGACTAGCTGTCTTATTTTGGGGATGTGCTAGTTATCCGTGTAAAGATAGTCCACTAGTTTTCTGGTTGGAGAGGGAGCACTGAGGTACGGAAAAGCCTGCGTCCAGGAGGTCTGAAGGGAAGTCCCACAGTGGAGTGTGTTTAGAGGGCTGCAGTGACTTTTCCATCCAGCCAGTCATTACTTGACATCTTTGCAAATGAAACGTACCCCATGCAATGGCCACCGTTGTGGACGAGCTGTTCAGCACAAAATGTTTGCCAGTGTATTACAGTGTGAAACTTCCATGTACAATATTTTTAACCGTTTCCTGCGGTCTGCTCAGCTGGAGTTTAGTGGGAATCCATGGTTATGTTGGCAGGTAAAACTTTTTTCTGGTGAATCTCAGGGAAAGTTGGATTTCTGCAGCATCCATGAGTCCCGCCTCATGCTGGCCCACACAGTAGAAACTTTCCCCCTCGATCGCTTTCAAGTCATAAACCTTGAAAGCGATTGAACTGAAATGGCTCAAAGAAGTATATTTACAATGCATTTAATTTTTAATGTGTTTCAATCTGTCAGTAATTGTGGTAACATGTTTGAGTTTCATAAAAGATCAAGAAAAAAGACGATTTGTTTTTTTTTCTTGTTATTTTTTTTGTTTTTGTTTAGATTTTCTGGTTAGTATAAAAGCCATTTTGTTGAGGACCACAAATACACACCAGGCATATGTCCACAGTGGAGATACAGTGCTCTCTTATTCTTTTTATAACAAAAGAAAACTTGTGAATAGTTGTTTTTGGCTTTGCTTTTTTTTTTTTCCAAGAAGGAGCTGATGCAAGAGAGCTGTTTTATATATCTTCTACAATACGTTATGACTGCTAAAAATAAAAATATGTGGCAAACGTGTGTGTGTGTGTGTGTGTGAAGGTTTTCACTCGTCCACATCATAGTAACGGAAGGACTACGTTCAGTTTCTTCAAGACGTTTCGTCTGAGAATCAGTCCCAGATTTTAAGCCCTGTTGTCCCTAAGAGGGCCGTTGACCCCCTATTGATTCTCTACATAATCACATGAGCCAAGGTGTGAAAGTGGGGTGGGTCACACTCAGCCAAGGTTTCAGGTGAACCCATTGCCCCCATCATGTGACTTACTGAAGTCAAAAGGCCCAGGATGTGTGTTAAGGCGTCTGGGAAGGATCTCAAAGCTGTAACGTAGATGGCAGACGCTGTCGGTGTGAGACACGTCTGTTCAAAGAGGGTCGTTCACTCCTCTTTCAAACCTTTGTCCAACATGTGGACATTAGCATTTTGAAAGAGTGTGTTTAACCGGCACGCAGATGTAGACAGCTATGCAGTCTCCATCAGAACCACTGTTTCTTCCTGCAAACAGGGAACACCCCATAAGCTCTGCAGATGTAATTTAGTCCTAGTCAAACTTTCTAGTCACAAACAGCTTGTGGGAGATTGAACTGAAATGACCTGTTGGCTCAAAGAACTATATTTACATTGCATTTAATTTTTTCCTGTCTCTGTCAGTGATTGTGGTAATATGTTTGGGTTTCATGAAAAGTTAAAGTAGTTAGAGGTCTTCTTGGGTCATTTCTTCATCACATTATGGTTTGTTCCTCGTAATAGTGATCACAGTTCTTACTGTCTGCTTTGAGCTTCCGTGCTCTGTGGCTGCACCAAACCAGACTCTTTCTCTGGGGAAGCTGGGGGTGCACAGCTGACAGCCTTGAACATGTCGCTAAACTAACTGCATCTAGATATTATAGGATATCATTCAGTCCCATATTGATTGCATCATCCACAAAGTACAAAGGGGGCCTTACGGTGACTACTACCAGGATGTGGTGGGTGAGGGGTGTGAATGCGTGCCTCATTAACCTGCAGTATCAGGTATTCAGCCAGCTCTTTGCAGAGGGGATGGTTGCAGACCCTTTCACACTGATACCTGCTGTAATGGGCGCTTCGATCACTGCCACAACACCTTTTCACAGTCCCTTTCTAACGGCTGTGAAAGTGAGGAAAGCCACTGCAGTATTTTTTTGTGATGGGTGTCGACACTCAGACGATACATAAGCACTGAGAGAACAAGTCGTAACCAAAACCCAAGTGCTTTTCTGTTTTTGCTGCCCACATGGTATGAAGTCCAAATCGGCCCCATACAGAAAAGCAATACCTGATGAGGGAATCCACAAAGAAAAAGCATCAGTCTGTGTAGAAAGTGAATATTAGTACAGTGGTACAATCATCTGATGATCTGGTGAATTTGTAAGTTTGCTCACAAAGAAATGAGCAGCCTAGTTGTTTATGGTAGTTTAATTTTAATGGAGACAGAATATTAGATCAAGAAATAAAAAACACATTACATGAAAGTAATAAAACCCCATTTCAGAGCAAATATCTGAATGATTGTCAGCACATGTAGAGACTAGAAAGACACGATGGGTTCTTCATATATATGATAACACTTAAAAAGTTCTAAACCAGGTACAGATGCCACATTATTGTCACTGGGACAATGTTCAGTTTAATTTCATGGTGTCATTTTGTGGTTATGGTTTTTTTAAGCATTAAAATGTGCCATTATAGACATTAGTTTTTCAAGCTTTATTTATTTATTTACATTTATGGAGCTAACCTACTGCACTGTCATTAGATTTGTCCATTATCCAGATTCAGCACGAAATTGAGATAATCAACAGAAATAGTTTTTTTTTTAACTCTTTCCCGTGATAGAGTATGAGTGAATGTAAAGAGCAGGGTGTTGATGCATATTACACAGGAGCCTCATTTCTGATAGGCTGTAAATACTCGACGTAATGCTGGAACATTAACACGTTACATGACCCGAATTAAAAATTGTGTTTATTTTTAATTTTTAAAAATTGTGTTTATTTTTAATTCGGCGTTTTTTAATGTCTGAACAAAGCAGCGGGGACACACCTGGGCAGGCGGACTGAAGAAACCCGGTTGCGTCACCAACGGATTCCGTAAAAACTGAAACCCCGCCTCTTTGGCTAAAGAACTCGGGCACGAGCGTGAATTACGAGCATACTGTAAACGGAAACGGTCCGCCCCGTGGGTCTGCTTACTTTTACGTGACGTAGAGCTCGTCCAATCGCAAGTGCCTGTGGGCGGGACCACAGCTAAGTGACGGTGAGCTTTTACAATGAGAAAGCCTCTTTGTGCGCATAACCTATATAAGAGATTTCTGCTGCGGATTCTTTCTTTGAAATAATGTCGGCTGAATATGATAACAGGTAAGGAGGGCTACTTATGGTCGCATCAAGTGTGAGTTCTAGGGCGTATTTTCTTCTTCAATCCGTCATATTTTACTTGATGTTCTCAAGAATGCAGATTTTTAACCGAGTTTTGTAGTCGAGTAACATTCGGGGACTTTTTGTCTTAGATGAACATTAGGGCTCTGCGCGTTTCAGGAGACGAGTGTGAAATAAGATTGAATGTTTTAGATCGTTAAAGTCATGCTAGTCAGAAGTTATATTAGTCTTAATGCTTCAGATGTGAATACGGACTGCGGTCGTTATCGGCATCCGGCGACAGCACGTGAACAAGCCTGATGTAGGCCTTTAAAAATTCTTCCTCTTTTCATTTGTAGTAACTTGATATTGAAGCCAAAACATCGGAACTACGATATTTTCGGGTGTAATACACGTAACGAACCTTATTTTGTCTGTAACGGTGAATTAATGCCGTTTCGTGCTGTTCGATGGAGTCACATGGTCTTAGTACGGATGGTCGGCGTTTTAAACAAAGGCCGCTTTAAGGCCGCTGAAAATGGTCGTTTTTCCGCTTACACACGCTGCATGTGGTGGAGCTGTGTGCTGCCTCCATAAAGCGCTGTGCCTTACGTGTCTAAATGAACAATAGCTTTCGCCGACTTTCGCCGACAGTTACAGACTAGCAGGCCCCGTTGCTAGCAGCTAATGCGGAGCAGGCCGCGGCGGAAAGCCGCGAAGCTTCTCCTGCCGCTTTCGTCATAGCATCGCGGACAACTAAATGATCCGAACGCTTTGAACACAAAGATGTCGGCGTTTGTCGACTAGCTGGCCACATTCGACGTGGCTGTGGCTCAGTTTCCTCCGTGAAGCGTCCACCCGCCCCTGTCTTTTCCTCCCCTGAATGGAGAAACGACCATCTTGATTGTATGTAGCAAAAATGGCGGCCTCTCCACAAGGCCGCGCGTCACAGCACAAGGGGCGAAGGCTTCTTTTTTCATGCCAAGTTTGGGAAGAATGATATAACGTGGGGCCTGGTAATGATTATATCAGCACGTTTACTTAAAGGGGGATATTTTTGTACCACAGAAGATTCTTTTTATTCTCATTATTCGTGGGCAGAGAGGATTTAGTTCATTAAGGTCATTTAGAAGTGCAGCTTGAGAGGAAAGATAACTGAGTTTCTGTCATTCACAGAGACAATGGCCCTGAAGGCATGGAGCCAGATGGGATCATTGAGGTAAGTCTCCTGTGAAACTCCCACCAGCACTGACGTTCTTCACAGCACAGGCACAGCATGTAATGAACTGACAATAAACCGGTGCTCTTTCTAACCTTTCCAGAGCAATTGGAACCAGATTGTGGATAGTTTTGATGAGATGAGTCTACGTGAGACCCTGCTCAGGGGAATTTATGCCTATGGTTTTGAGAAACCTTCAGCTATCCAGCAAAGGGCCATTATGCCTTGTATCAAGGGTAAGCGTGCTTCAATATGTAATGATGTGTTTCTAACACTTAGCAGTTAACAACCCCAAGAATTCCCTGGATGCTAAATTGCACGTGTTTTAATTTCAGGTTACGATGTGATTGCTCAGGCCCAATCTGGCACTGGGAAGACTGCCACCTTTGCCATTTCCATCCTTCAGCAGATTGATGTGGAGCTGAAAGGCACTCAGGCTCTGGTCTTGGCTCCCACTAGGGAGCTGGCTCAGCAGGTAGGCTTCCACACCCACCCTCTTACACTAGTGACATATTGTGCTATTGTTTCTTAAGGATCTCTCATGTAGCCTTTTGCATGGCTTAACGTCTGGTCTTTGACTTTCTTTCAGATTCAGAAAGTGGTCCTTGCCCTGGGCGACTACATGGGAGCCAGCTGCTATGCCTGCATTGGAGGGACCAACATCCGCAGTGAGGTCCAGAAACTGCAGGCTGAAGCCCCACACATCGTGGTGGGAACTCCCGGACGCGTCTTTGACATGCTAACTCGCAAAAACCTTTGTAAGTCTTCCTGAGAAGGAGTTAAATCAGGCTTAGTTTGAAATGTGTGACCACAAAGAAAGAAATGAACACGAGTCTCTGGTGACTTTGATCACCTCAGAGGTCAGTTATTGTATAATGCTGTATAATGATGAAACCCATGCGTGTCAGCTGACACTGTAAGCCCCTGCTGTGGTGTAGCTGTGGTCGGCGTTCTGCTGGCTCGAGCTTTCATTACAACAGAGGTCCAGAGGCATGATCATACGTTCATTACTTCTGAATACGGCACCTTTACACCTGAAGACGCTTCATTACCGAAACCTCATTAGTGGCACGTGATTCCTAAATCCAACATGAATCAGTTGTATCGGTGTGCAAACGTATGGCTGTGTTATGTGCCCGTATGTGTAACATGGTGGTTCCCTTTTTGCAGCTTCTAAATACATCAAAATGTTCGTGTTGGACGAGGCTGATGAGATGCTTAGTCGAGGATTCAAGGATCAGATCTACGAGATCTTCCAGAAGCTGTCGAGCAACATCCAGGTTAGAACTCTGGTGTCGGCGCCGTAACGGCCGAGCCAAAGATCCTTGCTTGAAATATGAACTCTGCTTGTAGCTGACGGACATCTCTGTAAATCTTTTTAAGGTTGTCCTACTGTCTGCCACCATGCCAGCTGATGTTTTGGAGGTCACAAAGAAGTTTATGCGTGAGCCTATCAGAATCCTCGTGAAGAAGGAGGAGCTGACACTTGAGGGCATCCGCCAGTTTTACATAAATGTGGAAAAAGAGGTGAAAAACGTGCACTCGCTTTCCCTGTAATCAGGGTGTTTATGCTGAGCTTGCTGTGCTAACAGTCTGACCTGGTGGTCCTCAGGAATGGAAGCTGGATACCTTGTGCGACTTGTACGAAACCTTGACCATCACACAAGCTGTGATCTTCATCAACACAAGGAGAAAAGTGGACTGGCTTACTGAGAAGATGCATGCCAGAGACTTCACAGTTTCTGCTCTGGTACGAACCTCTCTGTGTGACTGAAACATTTGGTACAAGTGTGGAAACTTTCAGTGCATGTTGTAAGACTTCATTCTGTCTTTTCAGCACGGTGACATGGACCAGAAGGAGAGAGACCTGATCATGAGGGAGTTCCGCTCGGGCTCCAGTCGAGTCCTTATTACCACTGACCTGTTGGTATGTAACGGCTTCTTATTAGTGCTGTTTGCAGTCCAAGGTTCCCTCTCCTGCCAGCTGCAGTGTTGGTAAAGGACTGAAAGTTCCTTGGTAGAGCAGAGATCTGCCCTCCACTGTAGCTGGGTTGAAATCCCTGACTCACAACTAATTGGCAGATTACATTTATTCCTGTAGCTCACCTGTGAGAGTTCTGGGTAAAGCTGTGGTGGGTCATAGAAACTGGACCCACCACCAGTTTGTATGTGGGGTTAGCTCTTATTCAGGACATGAGTGCAAAGAAACATCCAGTTTACGGCCCAATTTTAATTGATAGATGGTCATAAAGATCAAACTGAGGTTATTGTGCTCGGCCCTGACAGCCAGATTCCTCCTGGATGGCATGACCTCGGCCTCCTGTTTGACCAGGACATGTCCTTCAATGCACATATTAAACAAATATGTAAGGCTGCTTACCATCTCTAAAATATCCTGTCTCAGAGTGATGCTGACAAACTCCAGGGGAAGGGGGGAGCAGTACATTTTCAGAGACCTTCCTTCTCCTGCTTTGGCTCGCTGTTAGATCCAAAATTGAGTTGTGCCATGTAAGTAAAGGTGTTTGTTTCTTCTCAGGCCAGAGGTATTGATGTTCAGCAGGTTTCCCTTGTCATCAACTACGACCTGCCAACCAACAGGGAAAACTACATCCACAGGTGAGGACATAAACTGTTTGCAGACATGATTGGCAGCTATTCACAACAGGCAAATGAAATGTTCATGTCAACTCTTTGTCCAACGTGAGCACGAGCAGCAAACCCAAAGAGATGATATCTGCAGTGACGGTGATCCTTTTTGTTTTTGACAGGATCGGTCGGGGAGGTCGTTTCGGCAGAAAGGGAGTAGCCATTAACATGATAACCGAGGATGACAAGCGAACACTGAGGGACATTGAGACATTCTACAACACCACCGTGGAGGAGATGCCCATGAACGTGGCCGATCTTATCTAGAAGACTCCCCGCTTCTGTTTGTCCACCCATATCCGATTGTTTTAGAAGTAAAAGCTTGTTTCCTACAATACGAATACTAAAAACTTCCTTTTTCTAAATTCCACCCTGAATTTACTCAGCATTTGACATGATTTTGGAAGAATAACTTGCTGACCCGCTCCATCTGCCATTGTCTTTTATCGACCCTGAAATTTTCCCAGCGGTTAAATACTCTGCTTCACGCCAGAACTGTTTCCAAAAGCACATTTAAAGTCCAGTGATGACATTATACTTGCTGATTGTTGGCAAAGAGACACTGTTGATTTGCAGCTTGTGTGAGGTTTGGCTGTTGCAGCGTCGGTCGGCTGACCCGAGCAGTCTGGACTCGACGGTGTTCTGAATGAACAGCGGTGTGATTGACTAGCTCAGTATTTAAACAATCTTCAGTGTATTTGCACAACGCACGCCCACGGTCATGTTTACAGCAGGTTTTGGGTTCTGGAAGTAAACAGGACATGATCAATAAAATGAGCTGTACAGTGGCTGACAAATTTGATCCTCTTTACTGCTGTGCTTCTCTGCTTTTCCTCCTTTCTCATTGCGGCCGTAACCCTGTTCAGCCATTTGTACAGTAGAGTTCAGATGAGGAGTGCTTGCAGGCAGAAACGGTGAGTTGTAGCGATTTGGCCTCCTGACCCAGATCCAAGCGGCTTTTTGGGGTTTTTTTTTTTTTTTTTTTTTCTTTTCCCCGTCTCCAGTTTGTTGAGATTGGAGTTTTTTTATTTTTACAGGGAATATAAGATTTCAAATGGTTGTGGTCATGTTTTGTAACCTACCTCATCCAAATCTTATAGGTGAATGGGGAGTGTCATCTGGACCAAACTACAAATATAAAAGTATATAGAGATTTTTATCTTGCTTTCCACTCCACCAAAAGTTTCTGAGCTCTCGTATTATGAGGTGTTGCTATCAAGATGCTAATATTTTTTTAATTTTCCCGCCAATCTATGATCTGTCCTCTCTTTTTTTTTTTTTTTTTTTTTTTTTTTTTTTTTTTGTGTGATTGTATGGGTTGTTATATGTGTGTGTGTGTATTTATTTTATTGGTCTTTAAAAGAAAAACAATAAAAACATTCTTTTCTTTTCCTTTTCTTTAAAGCTGTAAAGCAGCCCTCTGTTGGCCAAATCCTGTGTGGTGTCTACTTTTGTGGCAAAGCTCACTCAGTGACGTGGGCGATGGAGTGGAGCAGTCAATGTTAGAGCTGGAACTCTTATAATATTCACATCTTCAGACACGTTTGTGTCCCATCAAAGGAGAACGTGTCAGTGTCTCTGTTGCATTTCCCATCATTTATTTTCCCGTTGTCTTTTTTTTTTCTTTCTCCCAATTAAACAGAGCTCATTCAGATCTGAATCTTCATTAAAAAGAGACAGCCCTGAGACAACAGAAGCGTTATAGGACTGAATTAATTTGCTCTTATTCAAATATTTGATGTTTGTGTGAAGCGGTGTCGAGGTTGACTCACCCACCGTGGGTGCAGCGGCTACAGACCGTACCAGTTTACTGAGGCTGCGGCTGGTTGATGGACTCTTGCATAGAGTGCAATTCTTCATAATAAAGTACTAAACATGTAACGGCATAAGGCATGTCTACGATAAGGTAAAGATACATGTGTGCATTTGTAATAAAGCTGGAATATAAAATGATGAAATAGAGACGCATACAGTGTTTTTCCTGCTGAGCAAATAGAAGCTGTCTGAGAAGCAGCACCATCAGCATGTCCTGCAGGAGGCCAACAAATGTATGAACGATAACGTCTCCGTCCACTAGAGGGAGACGTCGATTCAGCCTTGCTGACATAATCAGCCCTGTACTCTGTAGCACACATGCACACTCTTGTGGATTTGCATTTTCTTTCTCTCCCAGCCTGCTGGAGGAGCGACACTGACAGTTTATCCACAGACTAATTTCCAGCTCACAGGCACAGACGTAAGATAGAGAAATGTTAGCCCTGGGATGGACGGGCAGCCTTATTCCAGCTTCCCGTGGTTCTATAATCGTGTCTGCACAGCCTCAAAACATGGTGCACATCTCAACTTTGTGGCCTGCTTCTCAGGTTAGGTGGTCCCTTTTCCAAAGGCGCTGTTTGTGGTGAATGTACCCTGTGCCCATCCCCCAAATGCCACATGCACACTGTGGGTACCAACTCGCTCCCTGTTGGGTGTTGGATCGCAGGGTTGAGAGATGGTGGGATGGGGTGGGTGGATTATGTGAGTGTGAGGCTTGTAAAAAGGCTGCCATGGTCTTTCTTTGTGTGACGGATGGCTGGGAGGCTGAACGGGCCTGTTTTGCATGATAAGAGAAGCCAGCGTAGGGAAGAATAGAGGTCTATTCAAGCCCTGTCATCCAAATCCACCCTCCTGCACCAACCCATCACCCACCCCTTCATCATCCATCCCTTCATCATTGCATCCCTCCTCCTTTCTTTTCACCTTCATTTTCTGGCCTTCCCTGTTTTCATTGGTTATTTCTCCCCCTATAAATCTATAGCCTTTACCCACTTCTCTGACCTCCAAACCCCAGCGTATTTTATCCAACTTTATTTCTGTTCATTCAGATTTCCCCTCCTTTCCATCAAGCTGTTTGGACTTTGATGCGTTCCAAAACATTTGAATCTCATCATTATTTCGTGGGTCTGCTGAATGAGGAGATATAATGGAAATGTCACGGTCCAAGCTCTTTAACATTAAAAGAGTCTCTGATTCTCTGACATGTTCACAAAGTCAGCAGGAGATAGTACGGCATAATTAAAGTAATCGAAACAGCCACATCGTACTCTATTATCATTCTTTAAGGCTCTGATTGTGAGTACTAATCAGAGCTGGCTACATTGTAGAGGTCTTTACCTTCCAATATAAAACACGTTGTTGTGATTTGGTATAAATAACATTGAAGTTATTGGAACTAAATTCGACCCAAACTCATCTGAAGCTTCTCGTTATGATTGTCTCATCAGTGTTGGCTTTAAGGACACTCTGATAACTGATGTTAACACGATTTTGGTTACGTACCAACACAACAAACACTTTTAATTCAGCTTTTTCAAACAACTTCACTTCACGGTGATAAAATTATTTTACAAAACTACCAGGGTTGTCGACATTGCTGCAGTCGTTTGCTGTGGTTCAACAAGACTCGCACATCTCCAAAGTAATCCCAGTACATTCTTGGCGACTTTCAAGCTCCTCCAAATTAAACTGTCAAGGACTTTCAATGGAATTCAAGTCAGAGCTTTTTTTACTTGTTGTTCTGAAGGTGGTTCACCATGAGGGATGTGTGTTTGGTGTTGTTGTCATGTTGGAAGATAAAGCAGCGACCCAGACCCAGCTTTGCTGCCGACTGCTTCAGGGTTCCAGATTTTCCCGATTCCTTCCACTTTGACGACATTCACAGTTCCAGACGCTCCGAAGCATCCCTGCAGATTAGTGCTCTCGTCATTGTGTGTCACTGTGGGGATTGTGTTCTTTCTTCAAACATAAGCAGCGTCTCTATGGCTAGTTCTCTCTGACCAAAGGACGGGCTTCCAGTGTGCATAGTCTTTCTCCAGGTTGTCTTTAGCGTATCTCGGTCTGACTTGAAGGTGTCTGCACAGTTTCCATTGCTCTGCTTCCTGTGCAGGGTGCAAGTAACTGTCTTCCTTGAAATAACAATTGTGACTGTCCTACTGGCTTCACTTGTGTGTCGGCACTTGTTCTGGGATCTTTGGATGCATCTCTCACTAGTCTTTTACTTCCTACCTCTGTAAGGCTTGTTCTGGCTCTCTTTGAGTTTCTCGATGATACTTCCACTCCAGTTCTTGACAGTTGGAACTTTTCATATCCACCTCCTGAGTTATGAACACCAACATATCTTTTCCTCAAGCTAAACTGATTTCTTTCGTTCTTGGCATGAAGCTTTCTAAAGCTGCAGCTCAAACTTCTGTTGGATGTAAACTAGAAGATAAGCCTCAGTCAGATTTTACCAGCTATAAGTTTTACAAAGCCATTGCACACCCATGGTTTGTGCTATTACTCAATAACATGGTTAGTTTTCAGGAGCTATTTTTGAATAATTCTGTTACTGTGTGCAAATAATTTACTCTTTCTAGAAAAACTTTTAGGTTTGAAATGCTAAGTTGAAAGTCTCTTGCTCTTTTAAAAACTCTGGAACCACAGCTGCGTGTGTGAAACAGTCCCGGCAGGCTGTGCGACACAATATGTCTCTGTTGAAATGAAATTATTGGATCTTTGATGGTTTTTCTCTTGCACCTCCCCAACCAACCAGCGGCAGCATGCGCTCCTCTCTCAGCCTGGCCCTGGCTAACAGTTAGAGGGAGTTGTGTCCCCCGTGTTGCCCACAGAGGAGCTCTCATCGTTGGGGGTTTCTTTGTGATATTGTCGGACGGTTACCCCGCAGTTTCAAACACTGCTGTTGTTGTGCTTTATAAATGAAATCGGACTGGTTATAAACACAAAACCCTGTTTGCTCTTTTAGTTTTTGTTGTTTGTACTATTTCAACTTTCATGATTATAGATACATTTATATTTGCGGATCTTTCGAACCATATTTTAAGCCCGGAGACGCGTGACAGCCTGCGTGGCTGCCTCCACAGACAACTTTGCTAAAACCTCGTTTTCAGTATATAGTTTACAGTTGCCCGGGGATTATTAAGATCGTCTTGTCTTACTGGAATGCTTCCTCTCACCAACTCCGTCATCAACAAGTGTCTCACGCACCCCCGGAGCCCTTTCATTTGCAAATGCACACGCACAGAATGAAGCTTTTTGCCATTCCCATTGGTTCATGCCTGACTGCACGAGAATAGGAGAACTTTGGGAGTGAACAGACAGATGAGTTCAGTGTGTGAGCTGGCTGTCTGACAACAAGTGGTTTTCCGTAAACTCTTTCACTGCACTGAAACCGCAAAACTTTACTGTGAAAGTGTATCTCAGTGCTAGTTTAATGACTGCCTCGAGAGACTTTTAATTTAAGAAAGGGGGGGCAGGTTGTCCGCTGCAGTCTCACGGGTGTGTCGTGCGTAAGCCCCGGGGAAACGTGTAACTAAACCTGGCCAAAAGTCGCCAGATTGACGGCGACGAAGGCTCCTGAGTGCTCGATCGTTTATTTGTAACTCAACTCTCCTACTTTTCCCAGCATGTACAGCATGATGGAACACGAGCTGAAGCCGACTGGCCAGCCCCCTTCTCATCAGACCTCCCAGGGAATGTCACCGGTCACCGGCACCATGACCGGGAGCATGGGCAGCAATGGAAACTCTCACCCGAGCTCTAAAACGGCATGCGCACCTGGAGCCGACCCCATGGATAAAGTCAAGCGGCCCATGAACGCTTTCATGGTCTGGTCCAGGGGGCAGAGGCGCAAGATGGCACAAGAAAACCCGAAAATGCACAACTCTGAAATCAGCAAGCGGCTGGGGGCCGAGTGGAAACTTCTGAACGATGCTGAGAAGCGGCCTTTCATTGACGAGGCCAAGCGGCTCCGTGCGGTCCATATGAAGGAGTACCCTGACTACAAGTACAAGCCACGACGCAAGACAAAGCCTTTACTCAAAAAAGACACTCAGGTAGGCAAGTACCCACTGACAGCGGGAAACCTGCTGGTGGCAGCGGCACAGAGCCAAGGTGGGAGCCCCAGGATGGAGAGCTATGGCTGGGGCCCCACCGGAGGATACGCCGGCATGCAGGGCGAGGCACTGGGCTACACACAGCAGCTCCACCGGTATGAGCTGTCAGCTCTCCAGTACCCACCTGCAATGACGGCGCCGCAGACGTACATGAACGGGGCCAACTCGTACAGGTGAGTGTGTGTCTGCGTTTCTGCAAAACAACAACCGCGCATGTTCCCAGCGCTCGTTAAAGATGGCAAAGCGCGCAGATACGATGCTGAGCAGCAGCGCTTAGACTGTAGGTTACTTCTTCATTGAGTTCTCCAAACTCAGGTCAAAGGTGTTAAAATCTGGTGGAAACGGAGCGTGCAATCCTTCAGTTAGTGCGACTTCATGGTTCCTTGGACTTTCACTCGGTGAATTTATTTCTCTGTGCTGAAAATCCCCTCACTGTTATATTGTTTTACATAATTTCCTTGGGGATTTATAAAGTATCCTGATTCTGTTTCAAAAAACGAGTCTGAAAAATGTCTTTTTTTACTGAATGAAAATTAAGATACCAGAAATAAGTAATGCTGCATGTTCTCTAACTGCCACAGGACTCATCATGCTGAGTTTATTCAAATGAGGCACATATGTTGCATCCATTCCCACCGAATCACAAAGAAGTCTACATATGATTGAGCAACGAGGTTTGTCTGCATTCCTCTGCCTGCAGTCTTTATCAGTATAACTTGTTGGCAAGCAGGCTTGCTCCGTGTGTGGTCCCCTGCCCACAGACCCCCGTCCAAACCATTGTCCTGTGTTAGGGGAGATTTTGCCTCCTAGCACAGATCTCATGACCCTAAACAAAGTCTGAACACTTGATAAATTTTCTGGTGTAAGGATGGATGATGCTGCAATTTATTGCAGTAGTTCCCAGTTTGATTGGTTCTGCTGACTGGTCTGCAGCTGTATCAGTCACTGCATTTTTAATACAGCAGTGGAATCATTGAAGCTTGAGATTTTTTCCTTTAAGCTTTTAAACACAAGTCGAATCCAAATTTTACAAATTTTCTCAGACAGTATTTTGAAGATTTATCTGGAACACGTATCAACTTTATAATCCATCCAGTCTCTTCCAACACTGAAAATATCTCTCTACATGTATTTAATGAATGCATTTTAGTGTCGGAAATCAAGACAAGTTTGCATCAGTGTACATTAATACGTATTTAACTATGATAGAGGATTCAGATAGAAAAGCAGATGTACTGAAAGAAAACAGCTGTGACACATAGACCAGTCATCCCGCAGTTTTCCTACAAAATCAAACATAGTCTGCTGTGCGCTCACTCATGTCTGTTGTAGAGTTCACGCTGTGGTTTGTTAACATATTGGGAATTTTTATCCGTGATGATAGCAACAAAATCCCCAGTGCAAGACAAAAATATGTTTGTATAAATTCCCAGTGTAAAAGAAGTAATTCTGTATTTCGCTCTACAGCATTATTATCTATGTTACACAGAACTGAAAATATCTGGTGCTTAAACGTTATCTGGATGTAATTACTACACTGGATTCAAATAACTACTGCAGAGTTTCCAGTAATGCAGGAGTGTGTTTGATGATAAAGTGCTGTAACTAGCTCGGTGCACACTGGTTTTTATGGTGGACAAAGACAGGACAGAATTGTAGTTCAGCAGCACATCCTGACGTTTTTATTCCAAAATAATTACGTTGTTTTGATGTTGTTTAACTTGTAATGCCGTCTTCACCCCACAGCCCCATGTCATACAGCAGCAGTCCACAGCAGCCCAGCCCTGTCACTATGTCCATGGTGAAATCAGAACCGGTGTCCCACTCTCCTCCCACGGGAACACCAAACCACCATCGGGGGGCTTTGCAGGGTGACCTCAGAGACATGATCAGCATGTACATTCCTGGACCGGGAGGAGATGCCAGCGACCCTTCGGCAGCACAGAGGGGCTACACCAGTGTGCAGCAGCACTACCTCACTGGAACTGTTCCTCTCACACACATCTAGGACTGACGAACGGTTCACGAGCAGCTAGAGAGGAGATGGAAGCGGGTGTGGAGTACTTCAGAATGTCAGCATAAAGAAGTTGTGAAGTTTTGATGATGTGTCTGCAGTACGACAAGTATCCGAATGTACTCTTTGGTGCCACGACGCATCCAGGCCACACACGCAGCGCTGAGACTCCACCCACCACCCTGCCACAGACGTCTCTCCCTGAATGTCTTGAGTGAAGCCGGGGTGTCTGTTGTACATAACATGTAATATTTTCTAGTGTTTTGTGTATTATAGAACTTGTGTTTTAGAACCACCCTAAATACTTGCGATACTGGCTTTCATTACGGTTCCAGCACAGTCAGTGCTGGTTGGACTGGTTCCCGTGGCCACGTCTTCGAATGGCGACTGTCACTTTCTGCCATCTGAAATCATGTGATAGCCACATCACCTGAGCTGCTGGCCATTCGTTAGTGCTGCTGTGATGCGTCAGCAGGAAACTCGAGAATGAAATGCACAACTTGAATAACAGAGCTTTTTAAAATCTAACTCTTTGCCATGTGGCTTTGGTTTAGTAGCCTTGTGTTAGATCTGGACTTCTACTCTTCAGTTACATTTGAATGAAATGAAACAAACTTCTGTTGGACAATCACCACCGTGTCTACGAGGAAAAGGACTGGCTTTGTGCAGTAGTACCTCCTACATGCAGTAGAAGCAGCAGCCTCAGTCAGAATCACACTTTCGGCTCTAAGATCTGACTGTGTTCACTGTGTGCAGGTGTTTTATTTGCTATAATTTAGTTTTAGGACATTTTCATGTTTCGATGCATCGATCTGAACTGAGCATGCTGAATTTATATTCATGTCCTCTTGCGCTAGGCAGGTGTAGTATTTCTTTTTCTATGCTTTTAAATAATTGAAAGGATTTTTATGTGAACTGCTAGATTTTCAGTTGGTCTTTCAAATGTCTCCATACAAGGACGCTGGATTGGAAAAAGACCAGAGTTGTTTTTAAATGAACTGTCAGTTGTATTTTTATAACTTTTAAAGAGAATGGATGCGTGTTCCTGATTAAACCTCAGAAAACCTTTATTCTTGTTTCTAAACTTTTTGCAGTAACAAACGTTGAGATAATGCTAATTTCTTTTTTAAGTTTAGTCCTGGTTGGATTCAAAGTGTGATCTTCAAACACAAGCGGGACATGTCAGTCACGTACTGTGATATAATTCTAGTCATCATAGCTGAACCTTGTCCAGCATTCGGGGTTTAACCTGCCCAGTGTCATGTGTAAGTTACCGTAGGCAGCATTTATGCAAACAGTATGTATATGAAGCTCTTAGACTAAGAGTCTGATTCCTGTTTGATGGAAAAGATTTGTGGCTTTCATAACAACATTAATAAATTAGGTATATGCCAACATGTTTCATGAAAATGAAATTACAGCAGCTCACTTTGTCTCCAATCCAATAACTCACTAATCCAGCCTTCATGCTCTCGCCGGCTTCTTAGTTTATATTGTAATCATTCATCCGTTTACACAGTGCTGAGCTGGGCTGGATTAGGTGGGGCTACAATTATATAGTGAATACAAGTAATTCTGTAAACGATTTCCCCTTAAAACTACTCAAGAGAACAATCATGAGCCACATTTACACAGACTGATGATTCTGACATTGTTTTAATACAATTTGATTTTTCACCATTTTAATGTCGGCCTAGTATTTACCTGCTTTGACACTTGAACTTTTATTGAATTATAATATTTGCATTATGAATGCAGTATGAGTGTACCCCACTATAAGCCTTAATGGAGGGTTTTGAGTACGAACGGCGGTCAGGATTTAAGTCAGCACTTTTCCCCTTTTTAAAGGGGACTGGTGTGTTTTAGATCATCATTCTGCTCCATAACCTGAAACCCTGAAGGCCGAACATCATTTCATGCTTCAGGGCACAAACTGACATCCGACATCCTCTTTTGGGGTTTTCTGGTAGAGAGCAGAACTCATTGTTCCATCAATTTGCAAATTCGTGGTTCCAGCAAGTCATCGATCCTGAAGCACCAGAGCAGCCCCAGACCATCACGCTGCAGCCATGTTCGACTGTTGGTAAGGTTTCATTTTTATGAAACGTGTCGGCTCCCAAAGTTGACACCAACAAACACTAACACATCCCTGATGGATGGGACAGAGTTACATTTCTGAATCAGACTCCTGTGATTTTCCCCGAGACTTTTTAGCTCTTTCTCACTCTGAAGTCTATGAATGCCATTTTGTCCCAGTCTGTTTCTCCCTGTTGAATCATGAACACTTAGCTGAGGTAAGTGAGGCCTGAGGTTCTTTTCATGTAGTTCTGGTTCTTTTATCGCCTCCTGGACACGTCAGCGACACAGGCTTGGAGTCATCTTGTAGGCCGGTCACTCCCGGGAAGACAGCCGCTCTGCTAAGTTCGTTGATAATAGTTGTCGCTGGAGACTTGGACATGATATCGATGATTTTGTTTCTGATCCGTTTGTGAGTTTCTTTAGATCACAACATAAAGTGTTGCTTTGAGATGTCTTAACCTTCACTTAACCTAACTTCACTTAGCCCGGTTTAAGTGATTTGTTGTTCATCAGTTCTGGCAGTAATCAGGCCTGCGTGTTAATTTATGATTTAAAAATGGACTATTCCTTTTTCACTTTGGACCGCAGGTTTGGTAACTTTGTTCCTCTTAATAAATGAAATTGTCCTTCAACAGAAGGACAGGACTTTTGTTTTACTTGGCTTATTGTTGCCTAATATGAAAATGTGTTTGAAGATCTGAAAACTGTTACAAATATGCAAAAAAAGAAGAACAGGAAAACCTTTTTTATCAGTCGTAAATTTTTGCTTTGCATCAAAAAAAGAGAATCTTTGACTTTAAAGCTGAATTGAACAAGTTTAAATTATGTTTCTCAGCATTCCAGAGACACTTTTCCTCCTACCGGGTGGAGCCATTAGCTCTGCCCGAGGCAGAATAACACTTGGGACAAAAATGAACTCAAAGCGGGAGAACACAGGGGATCATGTGATATGGGAGGATGAATTTTGGGGGCTGGGAAGGCAGGACAGGGTGTCCTCTATTGTCCCCAGAATTATTTAGAGCTCGATTATTTACTTTCTTATCTTTACCCTCTTTAAAAATTCACTTTCCTTAGTCTCTTCCTTCCTTTAGACTCGTCTTTCCTCCTCCCCCACGTCTTTCCACAGAAAAAGCGAGTGGATGGCCCGTTCGTAATTGGCCGTTTCAGAAGCACATTGTCCGTGGCTTTTCAAGTCGCAGGTGCATATAGTAAACCCAGAGTCCCCGCTCCTCCCCTGGGCGTCTTTGTTCCCACTCCCCGCTTTCCTCACTCCCCCACCGAGCAGAAAATTAGGGTTGCTTTTTAGGACTTAGTCCACAGGCTTAACCCTTTCACCGAGCAGCGCCTTTCTCATGGAAATGGGAGGGAATCACGCACTGGCTAATCGGTCACTGAGGGGAGGGGATAGGATCCTGAGGAAAGGGAGAAAAGATGAGCGCACCGAGACCAACAACAGGAGGGGCATAACAACATAGAGCACATATAAGAGACTGCAAAAACCTATAGCTTCTCAGCCCTTCAACATGACATATTTTAGGGTGACACACATCTCGATATCCATCCATCTCTTGGAAGGCGATATGGACCCTCCAAGGATGTGGACCTTTAACACTTTCCCACAACACTCTTGATTCTTAAAATGTAAAACGGGGATCTTTTAGGGAGTAGCTATAAAAAATATAAAAACCAAGAACAGCAAACCATGTGGCATGACAACAGAAGTAGCACGGGAACAATCGTTGACCATTTGTTCTAAGTGGGAGACGTTGAAGCACACACGTTGGTGTTTTTGCTGAGGTCCATGGGACCATGCGAGGATAGGAATTGGATAGAAGGGGGAGAAAGAGTAGTGTGGGAGGAGGAGGAGGTGGAGGGAGTGTCAATGGAAGGATTTTCTGGTCCAGTACATCTCCTCACCTAGCAACAAGCAATGAGGCTTCAAAAAGTGGTTGCCATGGATATGCCAAGAGTGACTTAAAAGTCTTTACAAAGAGCTGCAGTCATTCTCTGTTTGTGTGAGTGTTGTGTGTGAGCATCAGGTGGTGGTTACCAACAGAGCTTTAAAGTGTGATTCAGTGTTTACATTCAAGATTCAATTTAGTTTTATTTAAATGACAACAAATCACAACAACAACAACTCTTTATTTTGTAAGGTAAAGACCCAAAAACCTGAGATCCACAAACTCTTTGCAGGACGTGGACGTTCTTCAAAGTTAACCGGCGAGTAAATATGCACACGTTCAGCTCTCAGTCTCTGGTTTCTGCATCACTTCACTGAACTTATAAGAAAACAGGAAAAAAAACACACACACACACAAGCCCGTTCAGCTATCTTAGTGAGGACCTTCATTGACATAATGGTTTCCCTAGCCCCTTACCCTAATCTAACCATTAAAAATGAATGCCTAACCCTTACCCTAAACCTAACCATAACCTAATTGTAACCCTGACACTAAAACCACATTTTGAGCCTCAAAAAGGCCTTCAAACTTGTGAGGACCGGTGAGTGTGTCCTCACAAGTGACTGTTGGTTCTCACAAGTATAGTAGAATGCAGATTTCGGTCCTCACAAAGATAGCTAGACAGGAACACACACACACACGCACACACACGCACACACACACACGCACACGACACACACACCAACACACACACACACACTCACACACGCACACACACACTCTTTATGTGATGATGCAGAAAAGAAAAACTGTAAACCTCCAACTTAGAATCACAATCTTTTATTTCAGCTGAAGAGAAATTCAGTATAAGGATATGTTGTGTCGCTCACTGCTGTTACAATACAAATCAGGGGAATATATATGATAAACAAATGTGCAATCTAAAACCAGTGTGAACCACAATCAGGGAAACTGCATCAAAAGGAATGTAAGGACAGTGCAGGGAGGGAGAGGACTAGAGCAGCAGCTCGACCCATAATTTAGCCCCACCACCAAAGCTGTTCATCATAAAAGCTGAATGATCAGCCTGCCGTGTTACAATTTCACCTGTACGTCAGTCAGGTGCATATCTATAATACCATGTGTCCCAAAGGCTTTGTACAAACATTTCATGTGTAAGTTTGGTCTTCCAAGTTTAAAGACACACATGGTGTCTAACGAACATGTAGATGGCTCTCTGTTATCCACGTTTAGTGACGGTTATTTGTCTAATCCTCTTTTTTCTTCTGAGGTGAACTGTTCCAGTAGTAAAGGACCTGCAGAGTAATAATGCCGTTACAGGTTGAGGATATGACGTAGGTGAGCGCCATCAGTGAGTCTCCAGTTTCCTGTAAAAAGACAGCATAAAGCTCAATCATTTACTTTTTGCAGAATGTGGACCATGTGTCTATAATGAGATCTTAGTTCACTAAAGAGCTAACGCTCTGATGAGGAATGGTCCCCGTAAAAACTGCTCAAACCAGGGCAAAGACACGGAGGTGTGCGTTGTATTTTAATCGTCTCACCTGTACTGAGGTAAAGATGCGTGCGAGGGACCCAGCGAACAGCAGGAAAACAGACACGGCGGAGAGCTGGCCGGTGTGACCGTTAGCGTAGTTGGTGGATGCCTGGATGAGCTGAGAGAACCGGACAGATTATCACGTGTTACTCAAGCTCGAGCGTTTGTTTGTGGAGGCTGACACGTTCTTCTATCTGCATGTTGTTAGTGGACACTGTCAAGATGGATTCATCTGATGACACGTGTTAGCTGACTTATCATACACACAATGAGGTCTTGAAAATGTATTACAAGCTAATCACTCTGAGCACTGTCAGTCTGTCTGGATGCACCGTACTGTGTTACAGGAATGCCTGAAAAGACAACGTCTGAAAAAAGCTACAGATGATTTAAAACCACGTGTGTGACGTGTGCAGGCCTACCCTCCCAATGATGATCGCCGGCATGTTGAAGGCCTGCAAGGAGGTAACCACTGACATAGGAGTCACTGGAGACAGCAGCAGCACCAGCAGGATAAAGTATATAACCATGAATAGGAGACCTGCAAGGGAAGCAACATATCGATGTAACAATGTTAAACTGAATGATTCGTTTCATGTGGAAGCACGTTTCCACCACAAAAACAAACAAACAAAAAGGTATCCGTTCAGTTAAGACTGGCTGTGAGATGTAAAATGTCTTTTTCATGAATATTTTGGTATTTAATAACATCAAGGGGAGAAGTCAAACCACATGAATACATGCTCGAGGCGACTATAAGCTCCACAAAATTCTACAACCACCGAAGCAGTTCTGGTAACAGTTCAGTTTGCATGAAGTCTTACCTGTGCTGGTTCTTTTTCCATAATGCTGAATGAGGAAGCCAATGGTGACTGTTTGCAGCATGAGGAAAAGAGCCTCACCCCAGGAACTGCAGTGACATACGGCATAAAGAAAACCTGGACCCTTAATAAACACTGATTACAATAACATGCAGAATTCAGAGCGCCTTGTGTCCATTTCTACTCCAACCAAACATGGTCCAACCTGAAAGGGAAGTTGTTGGCAACACTGTAAGCCATTGTCCCTGTGATCGCCAACAGCTCCAGCAGCACAGACTTGAAGCTCAGCCCCTCAGCACTCTTCGCTCCAAGAAGCTTTAAGATCTGAGGAAGCTTCACTGTTAAAAAACAATTGGGGAAAAAGTTACAAAATAATTTAACACACAGTACCGTACAGAAGTCCTGCACCACCCCTCGCCTCTTTATATTTTCAAG